ACCTATAGTCCAACGTAAACTACAGATGTATTTGAGGTTTTACATCAACATGCGAACCTACCCCATTTAGTAGTCCAAGTCTGTGATGGTTGGCAGGATGTACTTGTGTTGACTAGATTACAAGCTACTGTGAAACAATACTAGTGTTCTCATTCCCCTTGCATGTTCGGATCATATTGTTTCAGTCACCACTGATTTTGTTATTTATTAATGGTATTTAGTGTCCGTCATTCTTAATTAGATTAGATTAAAGTAAAATTAAGAGTGTTATATGTATGAATGTCGCCAGTGTTCTACCTAACATGCTAAAGATTTGAGTGACACACGTTATTTTTCATTTTACATATTTAATATTTGTGTTGTCTATGGATAGACATACTATTTGTAACTAAAATTTCGTGAGTAATCAGGTAATAAATTGTAATTTTGAGGGAGCGCATATGAATGCATGGAATTGACCATAGGCAGATCTTGTGAAGTAGCAAGTGGATACATGTGAATGCAGCAACCATTTTGGAAGCCATGAGGTTTCTGGAATCATAGGGTACAAATACAATTTGGACAACGGCAGTTGTTAAGGCCTTCATGAAAGAGTGAAGCGTGGTGACAAGTGGATTCGGCATCATAGCATCGATCAGCCCCCCCCCGGCAACAAAGCTATCACATATTTGGGAACGCTGTATGTGATGGCTGCATTGATTTGTCTGACAATGTCTTTGTCTGTGGCTCATAGGACGCACTCAGTTGAGTAGTACAGGTATTTGAAAATCGTCGGGTGCCCTTTTTGCAGGGCATTAATGTTTCTACAGCCAACATTGTGTACAACCTTACTGTAGGTAAAGCGTGACTCTTGTATATTGAGTACAATTTGTTTTTGGAAAAACGTTCACTGAATGTGAACCTCAGTAGTGTCTGAATCCCGCTTTTTGTTTCCTCACCAGGTTTGAGAGGCGATGCGTCTGATCAAACCTCTAAGTAAACTAAGCCAGTGCTTTCTTTGGATCATTTTTAAATGGTGCTGAATATATTTACAAGGATTACCAGGCGTTACTCCGCCTCAAAGATCACCAATTCATCCTGCGAACAGTTGATAACTTTCCTTCGTGATTAAAAAAACTAAGATACCAGCTCAAGTGGACGACGCAAATTCCAGTCCCTCTTAAGTGGTGACGGAGTTATACGCAAATATCTCGATTGATTTGTTTCTAAAAAAAGCCACAGTGAACACCAATGTGCAATTTATTGACCCCACCATGCAGGGTATCAGGGTATTAGTCAAATACGTCTCAACATATATTTCTGTGATAAGTTAAGGTGATAATTTAATTCCCTGTAATCCCATGCTTCAATTCTAGGAAAACAGGCTTGTAACACTACAATAAAGACTTCCCGTTCTCGAGGTTGTGAAATTTCGGTTTTTAAGACAAAACCCCTAAAATGCTGATTTTGAAAAGATAATCCAGAAATTTATATTAACAATAATTCATAACAAAATGTATTACCTAAGTATGACCCTTTGTACGTCACTGCAATCGTATAATTGTCAAGGCATTGATGATTAAATGTAATCTATACTATGGACGGTATACGTCAATTAAAGGTCAATCGGAAAAGTAATATGTATATATATAATGTCATCTCTGCACATGTTATTTATTATGTAACCAAAACTGAGGTCAAAACTGTCACAATACAGCTTGAACCTATGTTCATTATCACGGTGTCCATTTGGATGGAGACATCAGATATTTTAATACGGTTTAACCATAACGTTTTTGTACCAATCTATTTAGACCACTGTTGACATGATATGCAGTTGATGACGTGTCCCGTGTACATTCACTTTGTCAAATATAAATTGTTCATATGACAGTCTAATTATCTTGTCATTACCGAATGAATAAAAATACACAGTAATGAATGACATGAAATAAATTACAGAATAGCGAGAATGTGTTTTGTGCATGGCTTCGTATAAAGAGTATAATATTCATAAGGCTTTTGAACAGTTAGTGTTAATGTATTTAAGCTATTTTAATCAAATGCCCAATTTCCCTATATAAACGCGATGGACTGGTGATTTCGATCAAAGTCAGTTACCATAGTATCCAGAGTAACCAGTAACAATCACTTTAAGATACAATTATTTCGATATAACCAATAGCAAGGTTCCATTAAATTCTGTATTTAACTATTTTTAACCATTGCACACTATTTTACAATATATCTATAGGCTGATTTTTCATGAAAGGCAGTTGATGACATTCATCGTGTACGTCCACGTTCTCAATTATGACTACGGAAGTTCAATTATTCTGTCAATATTAAGTGAATGATAATATTTTACGAAAATAAAAAAAAATATCTTATTTAGAAATAGATTGACAAGTCAGTAAATCATACGTTTGTACATGCTTTTTTTTGTTCAAGTACTCAAACTATTAAATAGGCTTTCAATCATTTGAGGTAATTACTTAGTTTGGAAATCTGAAAAGTGTTGCTTGTGTTTTGTAATATATCGCAGTAAAACTAAACTGCACAATTTTAGTGAAGCGAACAGAATGGACGTTGTTATGAGTCACGATAAAGGATTCAAGATTACTGGTTGCGAAATTCAATGAAACTTGTCATTATATTTTACATTTTTAGAAAAAGTGAAAATCTAGTTTGAACAAGATTGACTCATATGCGCGAACGTTGTGTATAACCCTGGTCACAAAAAAAAGTAAATAGTATACATTTAGAAATTTGTAGTATGTTGTAGGAAGACTCTGCCTTGCATGTTATGCGTTCACCATGTTGGGTATCAGATATATATGGAACGTAATTTTAAGTTTTGACGATCAAAAACCTCATCTTCGACATAGGATGCAGAGTTTTCTTTGTCTTTCCAAAATAGTTCTTATGTCATTATATTACAATGGCTGGACTTAGAGTAAAACACATCTCACATTCAAACACACTCACATAATATGTGGTCAGCTTTTCAGGTAAAAAGAACATAGCTCTTCACTGTTCGCAATCTTGCATGCATTCAAAAAAAACTAATATTCGAAATATGAAAATTTAGTAGTTCCATGTAATAACGCAGTGTAGTCACAATTTTTATTATTTAATGTCATCTAACAGGTATGATTGGCCATCATAAAATATGCCAACTTCTCAATATGTATATATTTGTGTAAAATTACAATAATCGCAAGAGTTGTTATTTTGATATATTTATTTGAATAGTTTCGGTGAACTCAGATATCATTTAACACATGAAGGTGGAATACCCAACAGTAGTGTGTCCCTTGTCGAGGGATGATTATTTTTTTTAATATTAATCGTTCACTCGGTTAAAAAATGAAACTATTAAATGCTATGATATGTTACTTAAGGTTAAATTGTTGATAATTTCAAATTCAGCAAATTGAAATATGTCTTCCAGAAGGCGAGGCTCAGTATACCAAGCCAAGCCGTTTGTCCAAATGTGTATTCTAAAAGTTTTTACGTCAATTAAAATTTGAGATTTCCTCCGGATAATCGTAATTAAACCACACACACATGCAATAGTTAGCTTGTGACTAATGACGACATATTTGACGGACATGTACATTGTACACATGCATGATGTCATAATATAACATTGCCTGTTTGAGTTGTTTTGTGGAATGACACGCCTCTATTCTTGGTATATAAGGTACCATCTAAATTCTCCATATTCACTCAGCTTTGGTAGTGTTCATAGAAGACTTGTACTTGTTGAACTGGGAACTGAATCAAAGTAAGTACCAATAACACGTGTTTATCATACAACACTTCAAAATAAATATATCTTCAGTGCAATGAAATCAAATCAATTAAGTACATGTTTACTAAATAATATATTAAAGCTGCAATAATACGTACGTATAGTTCTGTCAAAATAATATGCCTATCTGGATTGAGTGTTTAGATAACAAAACGCCCAAATAAAATTAGTGACGGTCATTTGTTTCTTTCATCAGGCCATTGAACGTCTCACTGGTACAAAATGCTGTTTGTACTGACTCTCCTTGTATTTTTGGCATGTCATATGCCGAATACTGTAAGTTGAATGTTTTGTAAATTGCAATACTCATGTGAATACAATGAATAGATATAAAAATTCATTTCGTCAACACAGTGATCATGTGCATTGTTTTCAGCAGAAGTGTTTGTTTACATACTTTTAGACACCTCCCAACAATGTACCTGTTACGAGTACCAAGTCTATTGTAAAAATCCCGATACCAACCAAGGTATGACTTGGAGTGATGCAAATAATTATTGCCAGGGACTTCCTGGTGGAGTTGGACTTGCTACCATGGACACAGAAGCTACTTTTATTGGCGTAAAACAGTCTATCCCTACTGAGTGGAAAGGCGAAACGTGCAACTGGGGTTTCTGGATTGGATTCAAAGATATGAGAGAACTACCGCATGATCCAAGGCACAAAACACATCCAGAATTCTTTTCATGGCACTTTGAAATGTGTTCTTATTTCGAGAAGTGGGCAGAAGCCCAGCCTAATGATAACGACACTCAAGACCCGGTAGGACAAAACTGCGTTCAGATGTGGTAAGCTAAGTGGTGTTCTAAATATTAATGCTCACATAATAAATTTCAAGATCAATAACGCTGCATTAGTGTGTTATCCTATGTGTTATTTCGTTAATTACATTTTCATTTTATAAATTTCATTTGTCATCATCTTTTCTTCATGGGATTCAAATAAAACATTTTTAGTGTATATCTGATCTTTTAATTTGATTCGCTATATAACCATGCGTATATGCTACATGATGTCTGATGTACCAAAACTATTCGTCACAAAGCCTTAAAGTCATAACTAGCCACATACAATCACAATATTAATGCCGTTTTCAAATTTATATATACCATTTAATTTAGGTACAGACCACAGATGAGGGGTTCCTATGATGATGAGTACTGTACCGAAAAGAAGGGATTTGTCTGCCAATTAGCTATTGGTAAGTAACAATATAAAAAAAAACAGTGTTCATACAAGAATGTTGTGAAGATTTTTAGAAATGTGCAAAATTATAATAATAAGAATAAATTCGTTATTATGGATACCAATTTGGATATGAATTTAGTATGTTGTTACTGCTACTATGTGGACTGTTTTTAATTATGTACATGTTCTTTTTTTCTGTAGATTGTGCTTGTGCGGTATAACATGGTCTCCGAATGCAAATTGTATGTACTTCAGTTGAAAGTGTTTTGAACTTAGCAGGTCGGCAATGTTTTTGATTGACCATGGAAATAAAAACACGTAATAACACTGATGTTTGTGTTTTTTTTAATATAATGCGGCCTTTACTGTTATTGTAACCAAAATGTACGAACAAAATCTTCTTTTAACAAACACTTTCGTAGATCTAGTACCAATGAAAATAGCGTCATGACTCAACGTTTGTTACAACGCGAAGCAATACCATATTTGCAGAGCATAGCTTAGACAGTTAATGTGTATCTGTGGTTTACCTCAGCAGCATACCTCAAATCGTTCTCAGAATAGCACAGCTGTTAGTTTTCTGGGCCTAGCAGTGTTGGCGGCTATTATGCACACAACTGATATGGACTTATACGCAAAGAGTATTTTGAATGACGAAAGACTACAATATGAAATTTTCCACAGAGGTGTATCAAGATGATAATTTGCTCAATTCCAATGTGTCAAGAAATATTTGTACAAGTAAGACAATTTATGTCTGTTTGTCTATCTGCATTCCCATACAACTCAAAATCATCATGACTGTCACCAGTCTGAGATACAACTAAACGTATGAAAGTATTCTATTCGGCTATATACGAGCAATCACTGAGGTGATTGATGCCCAAATTATATTTAACTCAGTCGCTGCAGGCGCACTCCTTTTCCCATGATTACACAAGAGAGCAAAATAATACGTTACATCCCACAATGCAACTTTACGAGGACAGTTACTTAAGTCAGAGCGAGAATTAGAGTACAGTCGAAACATGACAGAATAGACGATCAACGAGAGAGTTGGGCCGAAGACCGAGTGGACGGCGGATCGGTTCAGTACGGCATAACACTCAGTGTTGATGTACAATTAGGCCTCTGAACGTGCAACTCTGTATGTGTGTTGAATTATAAATGATGTAAACGACTTGTGTCAATATTGTTGAGCAGTTAAAATATCACATGTGCGATCCCCAGAAAGTACCCTCAAAGCCAAGTAACACACCCTAAATTAAACCCAGACAGCGTCAGTTATTTTCCCTTGACAACGAACCACATTCACCCAAAGTGAGTGTACTCAAAATGAGGAAAACGACATGCAGTTACTTGTGTAAATATTGTTGAGTAGTTAAAATATCACATGTGCGATCCCCAGAAAGTACCCCCAAAGCCAAGCAACATACCCCAAATTCAACCCAGACAGCGTCAGTTATTTTCTCTTGACGACGAACCACATTCACCCAAAACCCGAGTACAAGCCCCGAGAACACGACGACAATGACAGTGGATTCAATATCATCAAAACTAGTACGGATGCTACACAATTAAATGTCAATCGGGAATGTGCAACATTGGAATAATTTCAACTCTGTTTTTTGTATGAGTCCATTCGATTGTAATTATCAGATATTTTAACGCGGCTTTTGCATATCAACCATACCATGTACGTGTTCCCCACCATTTTGACCAATGTTAAGATGATATGAAGTTGATGACGTGTACCCTGTATCCCCACGCTGTCAAATATACATAATGACATCCTCATTATATTGTCATTACCGGGTGAAATAAATAAATGGCAGGAAAATTGAGTAAGTCAGGATATAAAGAGTGTATTGGATGTATCGTTCCAGTCACATATTCATCAGGGCTTTAAACAATTTGTGTTAATTTATTTAAAATCATTTTAACCAAATGCCCATTTACTCTATAAAAACAAAATAATGTTTTGGTCAAAGACAATTAAAATTAGTATTACCAGCATGACCAGTAAAAACACTTAAATTGAAGACACAATTTTTTTATATAAAAAAGTTTCAATCAAATTCATACTAGTATAAACCATCCATCAATAACGCTATTTTGAGGTACAAATTATAAGTTGACCTTTTGTGAATGGCAGTTATTGGCATGCATCGTGTACGTTCACGTTTTCAATCACGGTGTACGGCAGTACAATTATACTGTCATTAACAAATGATCGATGCATATTTTCCTAAAATACAATGGCTTATTCATAAATAAAATGCCAAGTCAGTAAATCATGTTTTGTACGGCGTAAAATGGTTTTGTTCAAGCACTCAAACTATTAAATGGTGTTTGAAATTTTACTCGTAATTGTTAAGATGAATTTGAAATTGCCTTTTTGACACCAGTTTTGAAAATGACTTTTTTTTTAATTTTTATTTTAAAATTCATTTTTTCGCCTCTTCTTCTTGGCCTGTAAACCAAATCAATGGAAAATTGTCATTCTAACAACGCTATAATGATCAATACGTGTTTGTCATATATAAGATTCGTGTAGGTATTAATAGCTACGAACGACTGTCTTACATTTCAGAAAACTAGATTGCACTCTAGATTTGGGACACACGGACCTGAACGAAACTCAATAGGAACGATTTAATAAAATCCACATGCATGTACAATCCTGAACGAATAAAATAATATTTTTGATGGAATAAATAGAAGCACCAATGTCGGTATACGACGTCAACATGTTTTGTAATACCGGGAAAAGTAATCAGCGCTAGCTACGTACACTGTGCGATGACTACGTTTGGACGACCGATATAATCGTTCTTTCCATAATTATTCTCTTATTACAAATAGTCACTTAAAACATAACTCAACCCAAGTACTGCAAGATATTTTGTTGAGTGGAAAATATTACAGTTGTTAAATTAAATGTAATTCTCTTAGAAAAATGGCGACAACGGTTAATCAGCTGTTTGCAGATATATCATAATCTAAGTGCGCAAGCGCAGGAACCTAATATGACACCTTTGGCCGCTGTGAAGTAAACACGCGAATATATCGACCGCTAAATTCGCGAATCTGATTGGCTGATAAGGCTATGACGTATAGTAATAAGGAATGTGCACATTTAGTAGTTTTGTATGATAACGCAAGTAGTTAAACATGTTCATAATTTAATTCCATGTAACATATATGGTTGACAATCACAGACTATTCAATAAGTCGGTGATTTAAAATTACAATAATTGAAGAGTTGTTATTTTGATGTATTTATTCGAATAGTTTCGTTATGTTCAGATATTATTTACTATTTGAAGGTGTTGTGTTCAGTTGCCACTTCTTATTAAATGCGTGTAGACACAGGTTCTCTTTACCCAAATATTTGTATTCATGTTACCAATGTGACCCTGATAATATATCAATGCTTCCTTGACCAGTTGATGCATCAGTTTGGTATCGAACGGAACAACAGCCATTCCGGTGATATATAATACTAATAATATTAAACCGTGTACAGTTTCACATTTGAATTGAAACTATTGTTGATTACAAAGCCCGTTCATCGATGTTGCTGGATGACTATATTTGGTTATATTATTCGTTAAGTCGTTTACAAAATATAACTTGTTAATTTAATAATAATTAAATAGGTGATTATTGACACTGGCAAATTCAACAAGTTGAAATATATCGTCCAGAGTAGGAAGTTTAGTAGAATACATAGTCCAGTCATTTATATAAAACTGCATGTTTTACGTGACAATACTGTATTTACGACAATTAGGATTTACCATTACCTCCAAATAATCATAATTATACCACGCGTACTGTAGATGAAATATGAATACTATTTTCATCATGTGACTAATCACGCCATACCTGGGCGGACATGCATATTGTATTCATGCATAACGTCACAATGCAACATTGCCTGTTTGAGTTAATTTGTGAAAATTACATTTATTTTTGGTCTATAAAATGCCATCAAAATTGTCCATATTCACTCAGCTTTTGCGGTGCTCAGAAAATACCTGAACTGAAAACTGAACCGAAGTAAGTACCAATATATTATTATATCATATTAATTATATTATATATATTCTCATTGCAACGAAATCAAATCAATTACATATGTTCGGTGCATGATGGTAATAATTAAATCTACAGAAACGGTTTTACCTAACGATTGCTGGTAGTCAATTCGACACCTTTAGCCACCATTGTAACGTACAATGACGACATATGTTACAAAGCCTACCTGCAAAATAAACCATTGTTGGAAATAGAAACAAAAACATACAGAATCATTATCAACGGGTTCCATCTTGCAATTATCGTCGAAATAGTAATGACATTTTATTTTTAATATTCTTTTTTTACGTAAAAAGCTCAAATCTATTATTCTTTCAGAATTATGATCATTGAAACTAGCATTAGATAAATGGCTCAGCATTTCGTGCATTTTGAAACAGCAACATAATTGATCTATAAATAACGAAATTGGTCAAATTTAATGACATTTTAGCTCAGTAGATCTTAGGGACTATGCAAAAAATGAAAAATAAATATACGGAACATAGCCGGGCTGCAAATATGGCATAACAACCATTTTGAACGACGGTCGATGAATATTAAACACGCACCGCGGTAAGTTACAATTTGACATGATTACACCACTAATTGTTGTGAAAAAGGGAAAATAATATGTAATAGGATTAAGTATTCTCTAAATTGAATTTTAGACTGTGTCATTTTTTAAGTAGTTGAGGTATTGTATGTGGAAATAAAAGTCTCAGGGACACCCATGATTGTGAGTTATAAGTCACTGCTATAAGGCATCTAAGATGTCATGCTTTAAAATATCATACGACAATGCAAACCAAATCCCTTGTTAGTAATTTTAACAAAATGTGCTTAGTTCTTTCTAAAAAAACAGTGCATGCCACAAATGTACTAATTACTGAAGTCATTTATTTAGTATTTAAACGCATATTTACTAAAACATTTGAATAAATAATGAATGTGTCAACAATAAAATTACTTGAAAATCCTGTATTATAATGCTGAAAGCAGTGCTTGGTCGACCATATATTTGTTTCAATCAGCAGGGCCTTGGACCTCCCACCGATATCAAAATGCTGTTTGTACTGACTCTCCTTGTATTGGTTGGCATGTCATATGCCGAATATTGTGAGTTGGATGTTTATTAAAGTTATTAAAGTAAATGTTGTTGCAAATACAATAAACAGAAAACTGTATATTTTTGAAAGATGGATACCATTTACATTTTTTAGAGCAAAAGTGCTTGTAAGACATGTGTTCACAATTTATGTCGGTGCCTTATATTGTACAATCTTCTAGATAGCACCAAACACCAAGAATGTACCTGTTACGAGTACCGAGTCTATTGTAAAAATCCTGATACTAACCAAGGTATGTCTTGGAAAGATGCAAATGAGTATTGCTTGGGACTCCCCGGTGGTGTTGGTCTCGCTGTCATGAACACGGAAGACACTTATATAGGCGTAAAGCAAGCTGTCCCCACTGAGTGGAAGGGCCAACCATGCAACTGGGGTTTCTGGATTGGATTCAAAGATATGAGGGATTCACCGGATCATCCAAGTCACAAAACACACCCGGAGTATTTTACCTGGACACGGGAAGTGTGTTCTTATTTTGAGAAATGGGCAGAGGAACAGCCTAATGATAACCATAGTGACGATCCAAACGGACAAAACTGTGTTCAGATGTGGTAAGATAGGTGTTGCTGATGTATTCGTGTGATCTTCTAAATTATTAATATTTTCTGTCAGTCACATATTTCTCTTAATTCCATGATTTATCTTACTATCTGGTCTTAGTACGGAACGTATTTAAGTGTGACTCGCTATTTATAACGTACGCACTCGAATCTTTGTAGAAAAATATAGTTCAAACCTACCTACACATTGAAATATCGACGTACTTTTTCAGCCAAAATGTCAAAGCTCTTTTGAATTGGCCAATCGAAATAATTAATTTGTCTTACATAATATAAAGATATTGACAATTATTACACGGTACTGTAAGCAACTCACTGACAGTATTTGTATAGTACTGTTGACAACCACATTCCATCATAATACTAATATAGTATTCAACTTCATATATATAGGTATAGACCACAGATGAGAGGTGCTTACGATGATGAGTACTGTTCAGATAAGAAGGGTTTCATCTGCCAAATAGATATAGGTAAATATGTCACATTAATGTTCATAACATTTCCAGTATTTGGTTACGAAATGTATATTAAATTCCAGTTAAACTATGCAAATTATCATTTAGTTATTTGAATATTAATTTTATTAATTGTATACATGAGTGTTTTACAATCAGATACATGTTTTCTGATTATACTGTATTCCCTTTTTCGTAGGTTGTGACTGTTAACCTTATTCCTGGATACAACTATGTGTGTATCGCAGTATACCAGCTGATTACCTTCCAACGTATATGACTGGCGATGGTGTGATTGGCCGTAATAATAACAATAAAAATACTAATATGTAATGACATTAATGCTTGTTTTCTTTGTTGTTATGTATCATTTTATGTAATTGTCCATATACCACACACATGTCTATCACCGATCTGTGAGAAATTATAACTATGTATGCAGCTGCGTATTTAGATATATGATTTCTAATATTAAATATATAGTTACTCTGTAGAATGGCCAACGCTGATTGGCGATTCGCTTCGCTCAAAAAACAAACAATATCTTTTCGGTTGTTGCCATGGTATGACATGAGCTTGAAGCTAATGTCGGTTTAAAATTAAAACAGGACCCCATGTACCAAGTTCGCAAAGAGCATTCAGTCTTCAGAAGTCACAATATTATTACTATTATTACATTATTACCAACGCGTACTTTGCTGTTATGTTATTATATTCACGCAAGTTAACCAGTTAACTTAGATTTCGATAAGATGACTTACTTTTTTACTTCAAGACCGTTTTGCGATTGTATTTTCTTTGTAACCCTACTAAAGCTGGGTAGAGTCAGCTGTGCCCGATGTTTTAGAATTGTAGAAAGAGATACATTTTACGCGAAGCTATACAAAAATCAGTTTTTTGGCTGTTGCCATGACAACGGAGGGCCAGGATCTTTTTACAGATTGTATCACCCAACTGGAAAGACGGTATGACTTGTCCATCAAGTATAAACAAAATAGGTGCAGTCTAAAAGAACACAAAAGAGTTAAAAATCCGTTCCTCAGTTTCCCCAACTTTGAGGTCATATATCCCGGTAATAGAAAAAGATATCAAAAAATACAAATACTAACTTTGTACCCAAATTCAAGTTGGGTAGAATGAGCTGTGTTAGCGGTTTTAATTCTAAAATTGTAGGAGATACATTTGGCGGAAAGCTATTTAAAAACCGGCTATAGCTAAGCAACGTTTTGCAGGAATTTGTTTACAGATTATACCATCTAACTAGAGTGAAGATGTTACCTGCCTGCCAAGTTTGAGAGAAATCGGCCCAGCCCAAAGAAATCACAGACGAATTGTTACGGGAAGACACTGTAACACCCCCTCCCACACCCACACACAACGGTGATTTTAAGGGCAATTCTAGCGGAGCGGGTCGCCCAGAATTAGCTAATTATAATAAATTACGTAGTACTTCGGTATACAGCATATCGTCCTCAATGGAGCTAGGCTCTCTATTGCAAAAATGCAATTACACTGTTACACTGTGTGACGCTTTCACAACACAACACACGAAAATTACTTTTGTGGTGACGTTGGCACGCAAGTAGGGAAACAAAGCCCCCCCAATACATGTGTATTTATTGAAACAAGGGTGATTATTAAAGAGCAATTCAATACCTAAACCCACCCAATACATTGATATCCTTCCCAATGTAACCATCATTAGCACGATCATAACCATCATAAGAAATCGATCTGGGACACAAGCGACAATATCTAATCTGAAAGAGTGTTTACTAAATCAGTGATATCTAAAGATAATTTCCGCTTAATAATTTTTCAAACCCCAAAATAGCTAAGTTTTTTTATTAGCGTGCACTAGCGCACACCGTCTGTTACTGGCGTAAAGTGGTCGAAAAATAAAGTCATTGCTCCGGGATTGGCTGCCTACAAATATTGCTTGGTCTTAGCTACGCGACAGGTAATATTCCCCGTTCTAACAATGACTAATGATACTGATATATGACCTCCGAGGTCACTGTACCTAAAGAAACCAGACAGAGACAGAAATAAACTACTTTTAGTGTCAGTGAATTATATATAATGTCAGATGCACCATGCAAAATTTGGGGTGATTCAACATTATTCATAATAAAGGAACGTTGGGCGGGTGCAGAAATCTATATCATGCATCCACTGAATAATGCAAAACGCGATTTAATCACACTGCAACGCCCTCAACCAACTTGGTTAAACATAATGCTACGACTGAAATATTGAAAACGCATGTTGCTTGAAAAATGTAGCCCGTCTGTTGAAGGCATTGACACACAATATGAAAGCGGCCGATGCCAGGGTGATGCTTTATAGCATCAGACACACGATCATGGCGTCTTTTATTTTTTTTCATCTCTAGCCACATAACTGATTCAAGCTCTTCTGTATCTAGAAAAAGCAAGTAAATAGTAAATACATTATTCTGTCGGCTACTATGAAAGCTCGTGGTCACTAGAGCCATTATATCACACTGGCTCATAGTAGAGTACTATGGTCACTAAATCCGAGCTTTAACTTTTAAGTCATTTACAGTGCATAACAACAGACTACACTGTGGTCGAATGACAGCGTTTGACGTAATTCTTAATTTTAAAACTTCTTTTGTATAGTAGAACAATAGGAGAATGTCCTTTAGAAATAGCATTTGGTTCATGTACATATAATCATAAACTACACATTCCTTCCAACCACAGACCACTTACTTAAGTCATTCAGTAGAATGACAATGCATTTACACAGTTGGTCGATCTGAATCCAGGGTGCATTTAAATAGCGAGGGGAAAGTTGTGTTCTTCATTTAAGTCATGTGAGAACCAGCAAGTTCTGAAAAACACTTCTGCCCTAGTAAATTCGTATTGTTTAAAACAAATAAACACCTACTGTTTGAAAAGCACTTTCCTAGTAAATGCCATGATTAAATGTGAGTGATCTGTCAATAAACTAAATTTCGAAACAGATTGGCTTACGGGACGGGGTTATGAAGCATAGATGATGTAATGTATATAAGACAGGAATACAATTGTTCACCAATAGGCCATTATACATATGCACCAGAGCTGCCTACTTTCCATAAATTTTTCAATAAACTTCCAGACAAGAAATAATAATACAATATATAAGAAAAAGTGGTCAACTTTGTTGTTGAGTCTATACACAATGTGTTGATGGATTTGGGAACCTTGGATCATACGTTAGATGAATCTACAATTGTGTTGGTTTGTATCTTGAGTTACATAGGAATATTGCTCAGAAATGTAACGGCTTAGATATATTTTATTGTGTTATTTAAAGGTATATTATAAATGATGCGTGCGTGATGAACATTCCGCATTGGAATGGAATGGCTCAAGGTACAGATTGTTGATTGGAATTTGTGTTTTTTTTGTGTTCACCTGGACATAGATACATATTATATAAGTACGTCTTGATCACATGATCAGTGCTATTTGGCATAACCACGATGGACATCATTGTCTGCTGCTCCTAATCACGAATGCCGAAAAGTTGCAATTTTCAACTGATCTCAAGTGCAGCTGACATTACAGCGAACTGACTTTAACCCTTGCTGGTCGTCAGTGCACCCTCGAGGAAGTCAAATTTTTGGAAGAGCCGTCGGAATATGTCGGACACGTGTAATCATTCTTCAAGTTTAACTGCAAGCTCTGCCTACAACACAATAACATTTGTCGTACGATACTGGTTAATAACACCACGTTAGGATTACACATTGTATAATTTGAGCCTATTGCCTATATTGTGGATTGCATTTATTTATTTTGTCAAATTATTGAACAACCGCTGTAATTTGTATTACTGTGTCGTATTTTGTTTAATTGGGCTGATCAGAAACTGGGAGTATTTGATGTTGGGCGTCAGTTTAAACGATTCACTGCTACATGTTTGAATTAGGATGCGAGCCGCGTGCTACACTATGGGCTCTAACTCGTCGATAATTGGATTGTACGCACAGGGATCTAGTCTGACTGGTATTCCTGCAATGAGCTGAGCCTTGTGTGGTAAGTGCGGTAAGTGAGTACCTACGTACAATCATCTCAAAGGAAGTAAGTTGTCGTTTGTAAAAACAGGTTCTTCATTCAAAGTACCGAGTTACGTATTTCGTATATAAGCTACTTTGGTATGTTTGTTAGGTGTATGATTATCAAAGTTGAGCAAATAAGCATGACATAACGGGTTATGGTGCATCTGTGATCCGTCATCCAAGAACAGTGCCACCATATGACAGCTTGTCACGTTAAACAAGGAACTCAAATACACCATGGTGTACATATTTATATAAATATATATGAGAGATCAAAGTAAAAAATCTTCACAACTTTGCTTTATTAAACCATGGCCAAAACAGAATACTGCATATTTTGACCACTATTTTTGCCACATCTACTCGAATGAACAAGATATGTAACACATACATGTCTTGGAGAATGAAGATGCTTCCTTGAGAAAATCCTATACTGTTAGCTAATCATTACTATCTGCCATTGCTACGGCGTGACGTTAATTAAGATAACTAATCTTTACCTGGCTCATATTGTATAAGCCGTTCATAATTGTTGATCCATTTCCACCTCAATTCTATCGTAATAATAGAAGTCGCTCTAACACTTGACAGGTGATGCTGAGTTCATATACACTGCGTGTCTTCTGATCATGACGATTTGCATAAACAGACAAAATGCAGAATTGCTATCCGTTATTTTTCCAGATTTTATTTATTGCCATTGAAATTCCTGCATTTTGTTTATAACCTTATTATACGCCTGTTTATGGACATTATCTACAGCAATCGCCCTGTTTAATGTTATTCTCATAAAGCGTTCTCGGACATTCGTATACACAATCTTAAACATTGTATATGCTTTCATTTTCATATAGTGAGAATTATATAAAAAGCACGTGTTATCAATAATGAAACTCCGACAAGTGTTATTGCGTTGTGAAGAACGTGACCACACAGGCCTGGTTCGACAGAGAAACTCGACGTCTATTGGTGGTGGTGGTTTTAAAGTCGGATAACAACCCCCATACACGGACTTGTCTTGGATACAAATTCACACGAACATAACTTCAGGAAGCTGTGTAAGATAGTTCTAGAATTAAAAACCAATTGTTTATTAATTATTTAGGTAAGTTTTGCAATGTTTGTACAAAGTATGGACAACATTTGAAGGAAGCTTCAGCTACTTGGGTTAAAGTCGGATGCCACGACAACACGAGCAATCGTACATGCATGGAGTCGCAGTTCAGATGCAAATTTCCGAAAAGACCGCCGATGACGACGTTGATGTTGTTGCTGTAGATAGTGGCGCTGGAAATAGACACTCTTCGATGTTTCTATTTCCTAATGAAGGGGGAATTGCCACACAATGAATTTCGCTCCTCAACCAGACCTTGTAAATTCTCTCGGTTGTTCATATTTAGATATATAGCTCCGAACATAACTACAAATATACATCAGAGCGCACTGTCCAGGGAATGGTTTTGAGTATTGGTAAGTTTTCAGATTAAATGTTATTTTATTTTTTTATTCTTCCTGTAATTTATTTGTGTCCTTTTTTCGAAACATCTGTACTTTAATAACATTAAAAATTGCAGGAGAGGTGATCCGACAGAAAGTGTTATTCGAAGTTGAGCGCAGTTCATCTGTCTCAAACTTACTTGACGAAACAACAGATGTTGCCGTCCTGAAACAGATGATAATTTACGGTAAATATTTATCAAACACTAGTGAATCGAAAATAAAATTTCTTGGCACTGCAGATGTGAGTATTGCTAATTTTTGCCAGGGTCCATGGTTGCATAAATGTACAAGTCTAAATTAAATGTTTTTGTTGTAATTGAATGTAATTGTAATTATACGGCTCTTTTTACTGGAGTATGTATTAATAACTTTCTTTGCAGGTGTATCCCTATGGACATTTCATTTTGTTCCTTACTTAGGTACCTAGTGGAAAAAAGACACATTGACGAATTAAGAAACCTCATTTTGTGAGGAAAGAGCTAGCTGGATTTGGCAGCGATGGTACTGCAGTGATGATGGGAGCCAAATCTGTTGTTGCAACTCGGCTCAAACAAACAGTACGTTACTATTTTATTTTAGTTGTCAGTCTCAACACAAATAATGCACCTGTTGTTATTTTACCTTTTACCTATATACACTCACTGTTTGCCAAGTATGTGATTTCATGATTGTTAACCACAGTGTGATTCACATGCTAGCATTATGTGTTTGTTTCCCCGGCTGCTGATGAAGTGGAGTATTTAATGCCATGCTGGATACAATATTTAGATTTTATAGAGAATTCACCTGTAAGAATGAGTGTCCTCACGGAAATACAAGTGAGTTAACGTATTTAAATATTGTTCCAAATTCCAAATGAGTAAAACCTTTTCCAGCTTGATTTTCTCTAGAACATGTTTCATATTCTGTACTTGATTCATTGTAGAACACTATGGGAAATGCGCCCTCGAAGCTAAAACTAGCAAAGGCAGTGCGTTGGCTTACTCGTGAAGCAGCATGTGACACTATACAAAACATATATCCCTGTTTAGTGACGAGTTTACAGTGAGAAGCAAGTGAGAGTGATGATGCCACAGCCCTTGGTTTAGCAAAATTTGTTGAGGATTAGAAATTTAATGCAACCCTGTATATGATGTGCGACTTGCTTCTACAGTTGGCTTTGTCTATCAAAATATGTTCAGGTATGCTCACTCTATTATCTTTATAGTCACTATACTATAGAATGATTTTTTTTATTTCAACTATTCTCAATATCTTTTACAGAATACAGCAATAGATTTTATTGGCACTAAGAGCCAGATAAGGAATACCAGAGCAGTATTATATACCTGACTAATGATAGCAGCTGAACACTTCAGGAGAACTAAAGAATATGTTGCATATATAGAATATATATAGAATTATATTAGAATGGCTTCGGTATTACCTGGTCAGTGAATCATGAAATAGACTTCAGGGAAGTTCAAGAAAGATGTAAGTTTAACACCCAAGAATGCAGGTGCATTATTTTCTTATAGATAAATGTTATTAAAATGAAAAACATATAAATTAGATGACAACATATTAGCAGGATTCCCAGACATTGGAGAGTTTTAACATATTCAATCCAAGGACTGTTCTAGATTTACAACTATGTGATATATTGGAGAATTATGGACAAGAGAAGTTAAAGGTCAGTCGTAATGTAAAAGTCTCACTAGCTAGTACTAAACATAATTTAAACCATTATACCAGTACAAAAGTTTACAGTATTTAGTTATTGTTTCTTGTCTTGCAGATTCTCATTCGAGCAGTATGGTAAAATTGTAGATGAAGATTCATGTAAGATGGAATGAAAGGCTTTCCTACCTACTTTGTGGGAAAAGCGATTATCAGCTGACTTCAAGGACATTTTTCAATTATTAGCAATAGACTCAACAGAAACTGCTCCAAATCTATCTAAATTAGCAGCAGCAGGTAATATTTCTTGAATTGTGTGATTTGTTTTGTGCATTACACAGCATGCAATTGCCACTATATTTCAATAATATATAACTTTTGTTCTCAGATTCTGAACGTGCTCTCAGTTATCTGGCAAGAGTAAAAACAAGACTGAGAAAAGGGGTAAAATTCTCTACTCATGTCCCGAGCCACAGAACTTTAACCTCACCAATGCAGCCACTGTTTGGAGCAGTATTCACAATCGTAATATAGACCTTGGCGTATCACATTAATTAATTTTAGTTGGTCTATCGATATTTTGTACATAATTTCAGTAATACTTGTAGAGTGATATTTATATTTTGTGTATTTATTCTATGGAAATATATGCAAGACCCAAAAAAATACAATTTACTGATCAACAACATTATGTTAATTATATGCAAATTATATGCAAATGTTTATGCGAATTAGGCGCCCTGCTGATATTTTGAACCGTGGAGAACCATATTTATATTTTCATATTTGCGCCGTTGGTTAGTATAATCATTCCAAAAATGACGAAACTACTTTGATAATATTCAAAACAGATTGTATCCATTTCTAATAATAAGTAGAAGAAGCATACAGTTGAACTGCCGATGTGTGCTCTAGCTACGAACAAACTATGACTTTAAGGTTGATGTTTTTTATGTTTCATTCCACATATGAGATTACACCTACGGTTCCTATTATCTTTGTCATCATTTTGTTTCCGCATAGTTATCACTTCGCCCCTCAATGTTTCCTTACATAGTTTCAATTCATTTTTATATTCTTCAATCCCTGCTTCAACTTCGTCGATTCTCTTTGCGCTTGAGATAGTAGTTTCTTGAATTTCATGTAGGGTGTCTTCAATATTGTCCATTCGGTTCTCAATAGAAGTAAATCGTGTTCTCAAATCTTTGGAGTCTTTTGCTATGTCGGCTAAAGAGCTCAGTATCGCGTCGATATCTTTTCTTGTGATTGGAAATTCTTGGGAACGGGTGTCAGGACCAGGGCCTGGGTTGGATTCGACGTTTCCGCTCATAAATAACAACATTAGAATTAGGTGAATACACTTGAATAGTATGCGATGTTCTTTGATATGCAAATGAAGAAGTAGAACAAAATGACATGATGTTTTTTGACTCACACCAGAGAAACAACCGATTCTGGATCTGTAAGCTTGTAACGTAATTCCCATTGTTTCATATAACCGACAGATAAGGTTACGTTGTTCTTCTCACAATTTGCGTATTGAAAAGGGAAGACATGAAAATGTCCCCCTCGATAATAGATTGTGTGAATACTGTGTTGAACGAAATCAAGTTTATGTTGAAGACGAATATCATTTTATAAATATTTGCCATCGTTATCAACGTATTAGAGCAGAATTTTTGCCTGTATGGTTCCGCACCAACCCCACTTACAACAAATTTATCTCGCTCATGAGTTCAATAAACGATGTAATTTTAAATCAGTTAGCGAGTTATGTTTATTTCGCCATGAAAAGCAGAACTTAAATGATTTTTGTTTTCTCTATTGTTACAATTGTTAAGTGAAACTGTATTTGCTCTTTGGGCCAATGGCCTTTGCTTTGCAATAATAATAACAATAAATAAATAAAAGAATATATATATATATTAAAATGTGTTGATACCTAACCCGTCATTGTTTACGGTTCTGTAGTATCTAATTGTGGTCGTATATAAAACAGTGTTAACTGTGTAAACCTTCATTCGTATTATTGTAAACTTATCTTAATTGTTATGCTGCAGTTGTGTTGGTATTTCGCAGCTAGTGTATAACGATATGAACCAGGTGTTCGGGTGTTACAGATGGTTACAGGTTTTGTGAGATGAAAAGTACATGTTCAAATGGACGAAGGATAAAACGGCATTGGAAACTGGATTATGTTGTGTAACATTAAACTTTTGATATCGTCGCCCACAAACCTTGTCCAGTTGGGGAGTCTGCCGTAGCGCAATTAATTAGAGCGTCATTTGAGTTTTTAAAAAAAGGTTTTTTAACCGTATTTTTTTAAATTCAACTGTCAAAAGTAAATCTGTTTATCGAAGGTTCACGATTGACTATTGAGTTTTATCAACAACCGCTTAATAGGTTGGTATTTTTGTCTGTAATCCGTTCTTGTGTGTGCGAGTACATGGCCGCTGATAAAACATCTCAATCTACATCTGACCAAACCACGTTCGACAGCTTCCCTTTGTCGGGGTATGTCAATAAATTAGTGCGCAATCAACTAAAATAAGGCATTTTGTTCTTGAAACTGTATGTAACGCGAGAATGAGTGGCTGATGATTATGCTAAGTTACTTAGTCAAGAGTGTACACCGTGAAACCGTATCTTTAAAGTAGGGTCCATACATGGTAATTCTTGAACACACGTGAAGACCCATGGTGATATATTTTATGTTTATGATTTTTTATTATTTTTCTATAGATCCTTCTCTTCGTCCAGTACGGCGCTGTGGGAGTTTATTATTGTTTACATAACGTTTATTTATAATGGACGTTCATTGTGAAGCAGTGTACTCATGCTGTTATATTCCCTGTTTCCAAAGCAATGCACTTCAATAAATTGTGTGTACTACTGAAATATAAATGTTAACAAGACAGTACATTTAAAGATTGTTCAAATTATTATTTTAATTATCTACACGGTCTGCAAATAATAAACTAGAAATTATTTAGTATTTACTTTTACAATTAAAATAAACTAAATAATGTGATGACGCTATTAGTGTAACAATAATGAAGATGCGAAGACTTCAAACATGGTCAATTAATTTACGGCACATGACTATTACTTCCATGAAATACGGCTGGCTGTTCCACAGAAATCGGCTGTAATGGAATATGATATGATAAATGTTTAATGTAGAATAACTGCATTAAAATGATATATTATAAGTTGTGTATTTAAAGTGATATAAACTAAGATAAATTACACTCACTGTATTCACAGATGAAATAATGACTATGGTGGCACTGATCTTTCTTCCATCTCAAATTGTGTTTATCCCTGATAGAAAAACAAAAACAAGATGAATATTAGTTACGTATTTTAATATTATATTGCTCTATCCTTCCACACATACATTTGATAGGAATAAATATTGAAAACAATTTTGATCATGTGAAACACATCATGCACAATTTGTAAATGCTTATACATGCTACGTGCTCGTAAACAAGTAGATTGCTTTTTCAGTCGCTGTGTCACTATCGCTGCTTGTTCAGGTCATCATATATATAGCAGTTGTCAACTTTTTTACTTACACAGCTTGCTACTGGCACGGAGGAAATGACTTAAATGACTATGGCTAATTATGGGTAAGTGAATTTCTAATATTTTGGTAACTGAAATGGATGAATTGGAAGGATGTAATCTTAAGAGTAATCTCCATTTTCTATTTGAGACTGTTGATATTATTGACGCGCAATGGAATATTTTCACTTCTTTTCACATTGCATCGGTGGCTACGGGACCGGAGAAAACAATTACAGATCAGAAGCAAATAGAATCAAGAACGTTTCCAGTCAGTTATGTTCCAATATTTCCTTTACATGATGACCTAGGTAATGAACAGCAGCGTTGAATTTAAAACAGTAGCATTGTTCATTGTCTGTAAAAAAAATCAGTCTATTTAGGAAATGCGAGTCAGAATACGTTTTATATATTTTGAGGTAACGAGTGGAGAGTATCACATAACTATTCATCAAAAGTAACAAAACTATCCATCAAAAGTAACAATGCCGTCCTTCCCAAACGGCGAATGAACCGGCCAATAATCACTGTTTATTCGGTCGTCACATGGATATAATCCTGATACACCATTGTTGAAACTATGTTCACTGTCATTATTATTTGAAAGTGTTATCCTCTTTTCGAAGTTATTTGACCTTAAATATTCTTGTACCGTAATATGGCTCGCACACATACTCGGTACAATGCGATCCATTTCAAAGTGGCAGAATCAACCCACGTCTCTTTCAGAAATTTCGTCTAGTGTTGGGATACTTGGCGGCCAACATACAGCTGATCATGCCATGCGAAGTCCCATGTTTGCCAAAAGCGTTGGTACACTCTAAATATAGTCTATACATGTTTTAGCTCTCCATTTCTACTTGAAATGTCATTAATCAATTAGCGTCGCTAAAATATGACGTCATGTACAGAAGCATCAATGAACTGTATGAATACTAAAAGTTGGTGTTTTGTTTTTTGTTAGAGCAATACTGTGGGTTTCGAAACGGCAACTTGAGAACAAAGCTGACTGATAAAATTGTAGTTTGGGCTTTTCGTTGACCTGGTATATTTTTGGGCTTCGTCGTTGACAACAAACTTGCAAATATTCGTCATTCATTTCAAAGTCACATTGTAAAAAAATGGATTTCGCCACCACATGCATAACTTCCAGAATCACAGCTATAATTTGAATTGTGATTTCTTGTCACCGAGTCATCAACTTATATACACCAAAATCTAAGATTCCGGAAAAATAATAGCAATTAACTTGACCGTCAGTAGCCACGGACAGCTATACTTACAATAAAACACAGTCAGCGTTTTTTCCACGGAGAGAGTTACGCTCCCATGATTTGAAACCTTCGGACAACACTGAATTGTCGGACCTAACAAATTTCCCTTCGTCTTGCATATCATTAAGTCCAATCCAAAACCCATGGCGGGGATTACGATAATTGTCCCATATAAAACTTCTGACAACATTCAAAATAACGTCTGTGTTCAACATAGCCAGTCGTCCTCCTGCTTCTGTGCATACCCTATCGGCTGCAGTCCAAGTGCTCCTCTCCGTATTCACTTCATAACGATGACACCCATGACATACGTTATTAGAAGCTATAGAATGTAAAAAATAATCTTGTTACTGTTTTCACATTAGCACACAAACTACTTTATTTAGATACTCCTACTATTACTACAATAACAAGACCAATGTGACTATACAGTTTTATATTTACCGACGTTCGAGCACCAGTCTGTAATACAAAAATAAAATGTAAACGGTGAGTAAGAGTGAGTGAACAAGCACTAAATATCATGAAGTACAAGGGTGTGAACAAACTTGTTATGAATTTAAACAATTTTCCAAGATTACATCAACTTCAAGTTCAAAAAGCTAGTCAAAGATGATGTTATGACAATATTTAATTTACACGATTCACTGTTGCATACATCAACTGAACTGGAATGCACTTGTATCATTT